CTATAGGTGGCCCGAGAGAGGGAGCGTTTCCTCCGGGGTTGAAACGCAAGAGGATGGAATAAGCGGTGAAAAGTGCGTCTGCTGTTCTCCTTTGGCTTTTTTCGCCGAGAGTTAAAGTTCCGAGGTTTCGTTCGCCAGAACACGGGGGGATCCAACGAAACGAACGCATAACTGAAGACAGTTTTATTATTCCAAACATTTGGGAAGAAGTCAATTATGCTTTTTATAGCGTCCCCTGAGACGTTCCTATTCAAACTTTTCGGAACGATTGCACGGGGAGTTCCTGAACGAAAGCATACTAACACAAGATGTTACATTACATTCAATTAAAAATAATAATAATAATTTCTTAGATGTGTATAGTTGCTATAAAAGTATGAATATATGGTTGTTTGAAAAATTTGTAGCATTTTTAAGGACAGAGTTACAATTTATATTTTTCAATTTATAATATATTTTTGTTTAACTAATTTTCTTCCTTCATTCTTCGGCTGTATTCAATTAAAATATATTTATAAATATTAACCGACAATCAATTGGTAGAATGTCCTTTTTTGTTGGGTAATTTCCTACTGAATATTTATTTACAATTTTGAAATGATGTTTCAATGAGAGGAAAACTAAACGTTCGCATATGTGCCAGTATTCCTCAAGATGTTAAATTAACATTCTATAAGAATGTTAAAACGAATAAACGAACGCCTGAAAGCGTTGTTCGCAGTCAAATGTACAACCGCAGCATATATTACACAATATCACAGTTTTTCTCCCCTTTCGAGATATTCTTCCCTTGTGTAAAATATAAACTGGACGTTAGGTAATCGCGAGAAATTTTCAGGTTCGGAACACTCTCCGACGAGTTATCCTGAAACAATCTCACAAAAGGACTCTTGGCGGTCAAATGTGGTAATGTACCCAGAACGATAATAATAAAACACGACGACAAAAGGTCACTGTAAAAAGTAATACGTAATCTCCGGTTGCGAAATCTGAAATAAAAACCTCGCCGGTATAAATACGAAGCATACACACAGACAGATTCTGCTGTGAGTTGAAACCCATCGTGATCGTGAAAGAGATGAGACTCCTAACAACGGTGTCATAACGCATCCCTAACTCGACGAGCCTCTCGACATTAATTCGCGGTGCCCACGTGGCCGGCGGGAGGAGATTGCAATTGAGCCGCGGTTGTAAAAAAAAGTGCAATTAACGTTTCGTTGGGTTCATCGTGAAACATAGATATGTACCTGCTTCGGAGCTATTAACTGGGTGCGTCGTCGCGCATCATTCTGTTGAGTCAACGTAACATTTCTGGGGGGGGGGGGGGGGGGGGAGGATTAAGTCGAAATGCGACACTCGATGAAGCAGACTTTTTCGCTACCTTACGGAAGAGAGTATAGAATGCTCGCTATGGCCGAAGAACATGTATACAAGTTACCGTATCGAAATGTAAAACTCTTTCAGCACTTTTATCGACCACTTGACGACACGTTCTCGTCGTTGATCGTCACTGCAGGTATGGGGTACAATGTATAGAGCTTCCTTAGACGCTTCAAAAAAATCAAAGGAGAAAAGAAGATATACAGTCAGTATGGAGTAAGCGAAACGATCGAGACCGCAGCGAAACATGTCAGGCTAATCAACACGGACCGAATAAATCACGAAGGGTAGCCGTTAAACGGACGGATTCGCGCTTCACGGCGTTCATGGAATAATTAATCCCCTAATCGCGAAACAGCGAGCCGCGACGGCCATGTTCAAAGAGTGTGTGTGAGAGAGAAAGAGAAAGAGAGATCCTGCAGGAGGGCCGTTTAAAAAGCAATCTCGGCCCCGAGCCGGGCCGTAGCAGCCGCCATGAAAATTATTACGCGAGGAGCCATGGACAGGGGAGAAACGCCAGCTCGGAGGGTGCATTCGCTCCAACGCAGTGAGGGTATAAAAAGGAGGGTGGAAGCTTCGAGCGTGTGTACGGTAAAAGAGAGAGAGAGAGAGAGAAAGAAATGGTGGAGGAGAGAGGATGTTAAGGCCATGCAGTAAGGAAAGAAGGGCCCTAGGCGCGAGCCGGGCGAAGATTCTAAAATATGAGAGCTATTAACCGTACTTCCCTATGAGCATTACCTTCCCTCATGTGTAAATAATGCAACCTATCCTACGACCACCCCCGCCCCTATCACCTATATACTTTGCAACGCCTCTACCTGTGGCCCTGTACGAGCAATCTGCAGGCTTGCACGTACATACACGCGCGTGCAAGCTGCCGGCGCAGCTGCGGAACGAGAGTTTAAACGGCGTTTCACAGGGTGTTCCCCGTGGCATCGAGCGACGGAATCGAGGCTAGGGGTAGTTCTTTGCGCGGGGGATGGCGGAGTGGTGGTACAGAGGGAGAAAGTTTCCACGGAGATATTAATTTTGGGTGTCTAATTTGCAGAGGGATAATTAGGTCTGAGTATCGTTGACGAGTATCAGGACAATTGGCGGAAGATTCAACCGAGGACGGTTGCTAGTAGGTACCATTTCGTCGGGTACTTTGGGGCTGTCAGGTACTCACGAATTCTCTGCAGGCAAGTCACGCCCGGGTACGTAACCCGTTGCAGCTCTTAATTAAGGGAGTCACCGGGGCACGAGAGCGAATTCCACGAGGTCAATTGTGTTGTGGAAATTAATGAGGATCTATGGGGGCGCTAATAAATTATAATCGGAAACTTTGCTCATTCAGTGAACACGGTTAGAGGGGATGGATACCCTCGTACTCGGGATATTTAGTGTTTCGGCGTGGAGTTGCCAGAGGGGGGGGGGCACGGTGATTGTGAACTATGTTTTCGTGGAGGAACTATTGGTTCGTTGCTAATAATGATAGAGCAGGAACTCCTGTATCCGAACACCCATTACCCGAATACGCTAATATTCGAACGTACTATTATTCGAACAGAGTGTTTCCCAGTAACAGATGCTTTCTCTCTTGTTGCAAATATACATATACAGCTTGCATGCAACGTATATCTACTGTTCTTAAAAAATTTGTGATTTAACATCCAAAAAGATATGGGCTTCATAAATATCCAAACGAATTGTCGATTTTCTTGATCTCTATTTAAATAAATGACGATGTTCCGGTGTTAACCCTGTAACGCGCAGATCCTCAGATGGTTATTTCAAAATTATGAGACTGATGTAGTTGTATGTTGCATTTTGTTATTTTCAAGTCGAAAATATCGACATTAAACCAACCTATTTAAAAAACTTTCGTTTATTTATTTTTAATCCTTTACCGCCCAAACACCTCTCCCGAGGAAAAAAGTTATTTCTCATGATTAGTTAACTAAAACGGCCTCTAATACATGCACAATACGTGTATTTTTACGACAGACCCCTCGAAATATGATTTTCTAGATTTTCTGATTTTCGAAATATGATTTCTCAGAGTGCCCGTTAAAGGGTTAAAGTTGTTGTTTCCTTCTATTTTATACACACCGCTAGATAAGTCCTGAACCCGTGAAACACGCAGTCCATCAGTAACAAATAAGGATTTTAATTACTAGAATATGAAAACAGGTGATTTCCTCAGTTCTGAGATCAATAGATAGGTACAATGCTTCGCTAAGTGTTTAGTCCCAGTCTCGAACTGTGACCTAATAATAAGGCATTATTTCCGTGATTTTCTGTTTCTGAGATAATGACTGAATGATACAACGCTTGATCCGTCAATGATACTGTACATATGCTACAAATCAATGCACACAGTGCACGCGGCGATCACGAATGAAACCACGGATAACCAAGTGCATAGCGCGGCAGTAAAGGGACAATGCGCGGAAAGCGGGTGTTCGTGTTCAGTCCCCAAAAGAATAGATAGTGCGTTGAAATTTACGCCGGTTCGCGCCACGCCGGCGCGCTAAATTTCGAGCCTTTAAAGTCGAGCTTAAACGACGCTTTAGAGGGTTCGTACGCTTAGTGATAAATTTTAATTCAGCCGGATGGACGCCCCCGGGTCGCCGGCTATCTACGGGGCCGCGTCGTGTCTTTGAACTTTCACGTTACAATAGACGCGACGACCCCCTGTTAAATACGCCTTAGAGAATTATGGGTATCTTTGAAATTTAACAAGTAACAACGCGAGACGTCGGAGGGTGAACGCAGCGGTGCGCGGTACTTCGAGGCGCGGATATCGTGACGCTAATTACTTTTA